CTAACAAAAATAAGAAAAAAAGCCTTTAATATAAAGAAATATAAGCAGCAGTTTGTTGAATAGAAATAAAGGTGTTATCACATTAAGTGAAGATTGAGAAGGAATTGAAGGTGTTGTAACCAGATATACAAAAGAGAAGTAAGAGATAGAAAGGTATTATCAGCACGCTGATTTAAAATAAAAAAAGATGCTGCCAGTATAATGAGTTGAATTAAATTAAAAAAAAAAGATCATTAGTAATTTGCTTAAAGCTATATGTATTTAATAAGAGAAATCTGAAACTTACAAATACTTCATTATAGGCCAGATGAAATAAAAAATACTGCTGGTTCATTAAATTAAATAATTAAATAAAAAAAGGTATTATTAATAATATACTTAAAGCTATGTATATTAAATTAGAAAAATCTGAAGCTTACCAATACTTTGTTATAGGTTAGACAAAATAAAAGGTGCTTATATGAATTAAATTAAATAAAATAAAAAAGATATCATTTGTAATCTGCTTAAAGCTATATGTATTAAATTAGAGAAATCTGAAACTTACTAATACTTTGTTATAGAGAATATGAAATAAATAGTGCTTCTGTATATTGAATTAAATAAAAAAAAGATATTGTTTGTAATTTGCTTAAAGCTATGTGTTAAATTAGAAAAATCTTAAATTTATTAATACTCTTTTATAGAAAAATGAAATAAAAGATGCTACTAGTATATTAAATTAAATAAATAAATAAAAAAAAGGTATTGTTTGTAATATACTTAAAGCTATATATTTTAAATCAGAGAAATCTAAAATTTACCAACACTTTGTTATAGTGAAGATGAAATAAAAGGTGCTCTAGTACATTAAATTAAAAAAAAAGGTATTGTTTGTAATATACTTAAAGCTATGTATATTAAATTAGAGAAATCTGAAACTTACTAATACTCTTTTATAGAAAATATGAAATAAAAGATGCTATTAGTGCATTGAATTAAAAAAAAAAGTATTATTTGTAATTTGTTTAAAGCTATATGTTAATTAGAGAAATCTAAAACTTACCAATACTTTGTTATAGGGAAGACAAAATAAAAGATGCTCTAGTATATTGAATTAAATAAAAAAAAAGTTTCATTTGTAATTTGCTTAAAGCTATGTATGTTAAATTAAAGAAATCTAAAACTTACCAATACTTTTTATAAAGAAGACGATGTTACCAGTGTACTAAATTAAATAAATAAATAAAGATATTGCTTGTAATATACTTAAAGTAATGTGTGTTAAATTAGAAAAATTTGAAATTTACCAACACTTTGTTATAGAGAAGATGAAATAAAAATACTCTACTATATTAAATTAAAAAAAAGATATTATCTGTAATCTGTTTAAAGCTGTGTTTTAAATTAGAGAAATCTAAAACTAAGCAATACTTTGTATAGAACAGATAAAATAAACTATACTACCAGTATATTAAATTAAATAAATAAATAAATTCATCAAAATTTTGTTTCAATTGTATACAATTTTATTATTTTATTTGAACTAGTATGTTAGTTTAAACATTGTATATTAATTAAAATAATAAAACACAAAATCAAATACTGTAAATTGCTTGATGTCTATTTATTATATAGTCAAATCTTCCAAAACCGGTATGCATGGTGAATAGGTTTTGTATCGGTTTTGGCAGGTTATCAGATTTGAAAATATCACGTGATGGGTCAACCTGCATCAACCAATCAAATTTGAGAATTGAACATATCAAGAAATTCTTGAACATATAATTTTGTAATTGTAAATATTATTATATATAAACTTAAAAAGATACCATTGCATTGCTTACATTTAGTTTCATTCTATTATTATTCTGGAAATTGCACATTTTTCTAAACAACATATATAAATTCCTAGTCATTTCTAATAAATTCAGGGTAAAAATCAAATCCGGATCAACCTGGATTTGATTTCTACAAGAAAATTATCAGGATTCTATTGAAGTGACCAGAAATTAATAATGTTTGTTCTGAAAAATGAGCATTCCCCAGAACGAAATAGGACAATAGTTAGGAGAAAGTCAGAATACGTTTTTTAAAAATTTTTATAGAAATCCCAATGCCTTGAGTTTTTACTGCATCGCTAAGTACGTATGTACTAATATACAATGTCATGTCACTCGATTATAATATACATAATGACTTAATGACCTGAATTACTTTAGTTATTTTTAAATGACCTGAGCCATTTGATCACGAGCAATTGTTAGATAATCTGATAATTAGATGACTAAAGTAATCAGTTATTTTTGGGTTATTACGGGTCGTTTATAAAATAGATTTCATGGCAATACACAAATTGTAAAGCCAAAATTGCACAATTTTTTTTTTCTTAACGAGATGCTTTCAAAGCACTTTAAATTGCGCAATTTTTTTTTCTTTTCTTAACAGGATGCTCTTAAAGCACTTTAAATTGCGTAATTTTATCAATTGCTCTATTCAGCAATTCGTTACATGCTGCTAAAACCTGGAAAAAATCTAAATAAACCTGTAACTTTAAGTTATAGGATTGACAATAAATATCTAAATTTAGCTAATTCGTCGTGAAAAAAAAACACAAGGTCGGTATTATGTTTACTAGTACTATATATTGAGGTTACTTAATAGTCCAGTAACTTGAATTGAAATTAGACTTGTATAGAATCTATAAGTCAGATATTCCGGGTTATAATTTGGTAGAACAAAGTTGTTGTGCAACACTGAAGATAGATGTTAAACCATTACTGTATTTTAATATAAGTATAATGATAAATTAAATGTCCAATCGCTTTCATATATTTTGGTTGAAAATTATGGTAACCTTGTACAAGTGCTATATAATTATCTCACGAAGAAATATATATTTTAGTATTAAAATTTTGAAAAATAAAATAAAATAAATGAAAAAGTTATAAGTACTCAAAGATGAATTGGATTAGATTACTATAAAATCTTGAAATAACAGGCGTGAACGTTATTCTAAAACTTGAACCTTTTAATATAGTATATTTAATTTTGGGGTAACGCCCATGAACATTCTACAATTTAAAAAATATTAGTGAATAAGTAATATGATAATCTAATAAAAATCAAGAGTTAAATTAATAATTTACCTGAAATAAATACAAATATTACAGGCGTATTGTAGATAACATAAGATTTTTGGTATTTCAAGTAGTAAAATTATGAAATAAAAAATTTATAACTTGTAAATAAGCTTTTTTTCTACCAAATTCGTGTTTCAATCAAAAAAATTAATCCATCATTGATATCTCATAAATTAGTAATCAAATCTTGACAATTTTGGTCTATTTGAATCATCTCATTGAAATGATTCAAATAGTACCAAAATCATCAAGATTTGATAACTAGATCATGAGATATCAATGATGGATCAAATTAAATAAATTTGATTGAAACACGAATTTGGTAAAAAAAAAAAGGCATTATAAATACAGTACGTAGAGATGCGACCAGATCAATTTTTTTATATAGGAAACCCAATTTTTCAATATATAAAAATTGATCTGGTCGCATCTCTTAAGTAAAAATTTTAAATTCTTTTTTCTTTTCGACTTTATAAAATATTTTTAAGCTTTTACTATATTATAATATAGAAAAAAAAAAGATAAAGTAGTTTTAGCTAGGAATTTGCGCAATGATCAAAGAAAATTGATATATGATCATTATAATAACAATCCCAACCTTACCCAAAAAGAGCTTGCAGAGTGGGCAAAAAATGAGTTTAATTTATTGAAAGCCCTAGCTCAAAGTACAATTTCAGATATTTTGAAAAGAAAGAAGGAATTTTATACAATGTCCACAAGTGATCTTGGAGTTAAAAGGTGTCGTGTTGTTTTGTTTCCTGAATTAGATACTGCATTGGCGAATTGGGTTTTACAATGTGAAGATCGTGCTATATGTCTAAATAGAGATATGATTAAAGCCAAGGGTAAAAAATTAGCAGATTTAATGAAAATTCTAGAAGACAATCAGTTAGAGTTCTCGAATAGATAGTTGCAAGCTTTTCAAGAAAGACACAACTTTTATCACTTTAGACTTCATGGTGAGAGCAGCTCTGCTAATCTTGAAGCTATTGAACTAAACCTTCCTAATATTATTCATAAAACTGATAAATATTCTCTGAGAAATATTTATAATATAGACAAGACTGGATTGTTTTATTCTATGGCTCCTGATCGTACTATTGCATCTCGTCAAATTAAAGGAGCAAAAAAAGATTGTATACGACTTACAATTGCACTTACATCTAATGCTGATGGCACACACAAGCTTCGGCCCTTCATTATTGGTCATGCCAATAAACCCAGATGTTTTAAAAAAAAAACTGGTGAACAACTTGAGTTTTATTATCATAATAATCAAAGAGCCTGGATGACTACTAAGTTTTTTCAGGTAATAATACAAAGCTACATAAAAATAAATATTTAATTAAAAATAAATATAGTCGCACTCCCATATAATCACACCATCGGGACTCACAAAAGTGTTCTTATATAGAACACATACTTATAATGCTTAGTTGGTTCAAAAAATAAATATGCTTATGTAGGTGATGTACTTATATAGAAGCAGTGAAAAAAATTTGATGTGTGCATGTCGCTCCGCATATAAAAATTTTTTGCACACAAAAAAAATATAAAATTGTACGCAAAGCACACAATTTATTAGCAGTATATTTTAAATCATGTGCACTATATAGTTAATAAATTAAAAGTGTACATTATATTTAATAATATGTGTGGTGCACAAACAATAAATTTAAAATTATATGCACAATGCGCACATAATTTTGATTTGAATTTTTTTCTCTGTATAGGAGGTGCTTATATGGGAGTGTGACTGTATTAATTACATAAATAGTCTAGTAACGAGTAACAAATTATTGAAGAATAAAAAAAAAAAATTTTATTATTAACTTGTATCACAATTTTCAGGAATGGATTGAAGATTTTGACAAAGAAATGAAGAAATCAAATCGTAATGTTTTACTCATCCTAGATGGTGCCTTTTCATATGTTACTGGTGCTGTTACTCTAACTAATGTAGAAGTACTTAAGTTACCTCCATATGTAACATCAAAAATACAGCCCATGGACGCTAGTATTATTGCATCATTTAAGACTCATTATCATCGCATACAACTTCAACGTGCACTGGATCTTGATGAAGCTAGGAAACGCAACATATATAAAATCGATCAATTGCAGACTATGAGATGGGTAAAGGTTAGTATTGGTATTTTAACTATGTTTATATTTTTTAAATACAGTAAATTTGAGCATAGTTTAAATATTATATGTTCAATTAAAAATTGCTGCCATATCGCTATGAAATAACGCCCCAGTGCATTATTTAGAGACACATTGCTTGAAGAGAGCTAATAATTATTAATTCTCTTCAAGCAACGTGTCTTGAAATAATACCCCAGAGCATTATTTCGTGATGATATGGTACGTTCATATTTTTTTTAATTAGTCTAAATATCAATACTTTTAACACTAATAAAGGTTGCCTGAAATGAAATATCTGCTAATACGATCAAAAATTGCTGGTTTTACACGAAAATTATATCTCTACGTGATGAGGATGGTGTACTAGTTGTTCTACCTCCTCCACCCCCTCTCATCGAAGATGTGGAAGAAAGCTTATTTGTCGATCCAGATGATGAATTAGCTACCATGAAGCTCTAGCAAACGATAGATGCATTGTGTATTCGTAATCCAATGCCAATTAAAGATTTGTTAGACCTTGAGGAGGAAAAACAAAAATACACCAACAATTTAATGATGATGACTTTGTACAAGCTGCTACAAAAATAGACTACGTAGAGAATGAAGTCATTATACAACTCTTAACCGGACAAGAACAGTTGGAAATTCTGTACAATACTCTGCAAATCGTTGATGAAAAAATTAATGATGGTAGAATTACAATAAAGGCTTTGCGTAAGCTTCAAACACGTATTTGTGAGGAGATCTGAAAGAAAGAGGCTGAAAAACAGGTTCAATCTACACTGGATCAATTCTTTCAAAGGCTTGAATAATAAATAACATCACATATTAATGAATTAGCTTTGAAAAATTTTAATTACAAACAGATAAGGTTTCTTCACAATTAAATAACAAAAAAAAAAATTATAACCTCGTATGACTTCACGGTAATACTATAGTGGGCAAAAATATCTGATATAAATAATAAATGGTTAGTTATTTATCAGTTATTAGTACGTATAAAGTGTCGATTGTATCTTGCTTAGTGTTAGCTAGTAGAATAAGTTAATAATTTAAGTTCATTTTTGACACCTTATTTTAAAGATTATTAATGCAAAATTCTGCATACCATAAAATGTCATATACAACACAGTATCTAGACCTAGTTCATAGATCTTAAAGCTTTCGATAAATTTATGAGTTTATTGAAAGCAAAAGATTTGAAACACGTATACGAATTTAATATGCAAAGAAGTGTCTGTGCATGCAAATGTACTGTATGTATATACATATAACTGTAATGTTGTATCATATAATATTGACAACTTTTATGCGATTTGATTGGATATCTTACACGTGATATTATCTAATAAATCGAAAATATAGATATAAAGGTTACCGGTTGTCAGAAATTACAGGTTATCGGATATTAATTATGGAATAGGTATAGTGGTTTAATTTTTAACCGATTATAGCAGGTTATCAGTTTTGACAGGATCGGTTTTGGGAGGGTTGACTGTATATATAATATATTTATTTATTAGTTATTCATTAATTACAAATAGCCAATTCTTTAATCTAATACTGTTAAAGACTTAGTTTTGTTCTTTTTACGATTGAACCAGCTAATTAACTTAGCAATATCATCATCATTAAGACAGTTACTTCAAAATTAACATATTTTAACAAATTCTTTTCAATATTAGTTAATTTTTCGTTCATTAAAAAGATCCTCCAAAGCAGAATTTTACATTTTTCTTCTTTGAGATAGTGGAATATTTTTACTACTCTTATCATGCAAATTTGACTAGAAGAAGATAATTAATAATAAAATAATTAAAGATTTTTTAATATTACTATATATTAAATTTATTTATATCTTTACGCTTATTATTTCGTATTCTTTTGGTTTGATGTTTTCAATAGAATATAGAATATTCTTGTTCTCTACAATCAGAACTAATGGCTTAGCCATTTAATATTAAATTAATATATAATCTAGACTTTATTACTTCAAATATACAATAAATAAATTATGCTTAGATTATTTAATTTGGACTGATTAAATTGAAGTTCTGAAATATCAATATTTTGTGCAAATATTGTTTCTTGATCATGATAATTACAGATTAAAATATGCGAATTGCTTGATTTTTTGAAATTATTATAATTGGTTTGATCATTATCATTTAGAGTAAATAAATCAATATTCTCATTTAGTGAATATACTATATGCTATAAAATAAATTTAAAATTTATCAATTAAAAAGATATTGATTAAATTTAAAAAGTTTTACAAATTGTGTACAGAGTAAAGTTATATGTATGACTTGTTTACTTATACCATGTATTTTTATAAAAGGTATTATAAAAGATTAATATTTACTTCATTTTCAGTAGTCTTTTGATCTTTTACTTCAATATTATCAAATTTATAAAATATTATACTATTAATTATTGAAGTAGCATACTTTGTTTTCGAGAGTTCACTTGGCCTAAATAGATCATTTTTAACAATTTGCTTATTAGTTAGAAAAAAGATAGTATCTTTCTTGGCTTTATATTAATATAAAATTTCTGTATAAGCTTCTTCATCAGAGCTAGTATATATTATTCTATTTTTTATATTAGATGCTATTACTTATTTTTATTTCAAAAATATTGAATAAATTCTTTTTTAATTTGATCAATTGAATTTTTATTTGCCTTTATAGATACATAGATACATGCTACATATCCATGTTTACAAAAATTACAAAATTATCTATGCCAAATAAAATTAAGACAGGTATATTCACTCGTAATATAATTAACTAAGTAATAATCAGAAAGTATTAAAACTATATACTTTTCTGCAAGCTTTTTAATTATCTTAGATACTCTTTGAGCTTCATTATCTTTAAACCTAATTTTATCTGCTATATACAGAAATCGAAAAGTATTTTGCTTGGAATTATTCATATATACATATAAAAAGTCTAAGTTGTCTGAAACTTCAAGAATATTATTCTGTAATACTTTCAATTTTCCCTAATTTATATATTGTATTATATCAAATTGTAGTCTGTATAGCCTATTTTGATGCTCAATAGTATGTAAATTTCAGTATATAACGAGCCTTGCACTAAAACTAATTAACTACAATTCTCTGTAAAGTTTAAACAGAAAACCCTAATACTATAAAAGATATTTGATAAAGATTAATACTATTTAGATATCTGAATATCTTTCTTCAATAGTTCTATTTATTTTTTCAGTAAAGTTATTAGTAGTTTATAGTTTTGCATAAAGTCTATCTTTCTGACTAGATAAGTGTCCACTATTAATAAAACCAAGAATCTACTTTTTATAGAGCTAATTTTCCTCAAGATTATATATAAAAAATGTTTTTGCTTGGGTAGAAATTAGAAATAAATTTATAAAATTTTTATATTCGATTACCATTTTTTAGCTTTAGTTATACTTTTGTATCTGCTAATAATTTGAATACCAATACTATCGGGTATCTGTATAAATAATATAATATATATAAATAATATTATTAATATATATTCTTTATTTCATTATAATCTAATTTCAGTATAAGACATTATAATAAATATGTAAAAGATTTATTAAAAGTATTATCTAGTCTAATTATTATATCTAAAATTGAATCAAATAATACTTTTCATAAATACTATATATTACTGTAAGCTTTAATCAATTTTTTGTATTCAAAAATGATTTCTAAAAGTCTGCATTATATGAAACTAGCAGAGTATTATACCTTTAAGAATAGATTTTAATGCAGCTTTTGTTGGTTTGTATTTATTTATCATTGCAAAAGGTTTCTATTTAATTATATATAGTCTTATATGTTTAAAGCCTTTATTATTAAGTAGTACAATATATTCATATGGATGGTCACAATTTATATTTTTACAGAGTATATTTGCTCTTATTGCTTCAACTGTGAGCTTTATTGTATGTATATTTTCTTTGTTTAATAATGCAAATTCTATAGACATACTTTAATTTCCTCTATCTTCTATCACAAGAGTATAAATAGATGCTTAATTGTTATTTAAAACATATTTTGCATTGATGCCAAAACAAAATTAGTTATAATCTCTTGCTTGTTCAAGCTATATATTATCACTTACAATAAGTTGATAATAGTATTCTGGAGAATTTAAAAAAAAGGTTTGATCCTCTTGTTAGTAATAAAGAATGAACTCTTTTTTCTTTAATTCATTTATAACTAAACTATATAAAATTGTTCACAGACCTATATCATGACTATATCAACTATTTTATTCTATTAACTATTAAATTTTTTGTTCACTACATATATTAACTCTATATTTTTCTTGTTGTTCTAATTGTTCTTTTGATACACCATTAAATAGAGTTAAAAGTTTGAGGTTCATTTCTTTAGCTATATATCCATTTGTATGTTAGGGCAGTGTTATTTATCATCTAATTATTTTTTATTAGAGGCTTACCCCCTTCCTCTTTCTTAATATAAAAAAAAATCAAGTTTTTATATATAATTTTAACTTTTTTTACCCTCTCCTCTAAAAAATCACCTGATTTTTGTTATATCTCTTAACTTAAAATTACCTAATCTCTTACAGTCTACTAAGATTTAAACATGTAATAGTTAATTCATATTGAATAGAAATGTTAATAGGAATATACTAACCTTCAATATATAATTTAATGAGAAATCTTTTTGCAACTATACTAAGCATAGCTTTGGTAATTATACAAATTTTGCACTTATGCATATCATTGACATTTTTTAAATTGTTTTTTATTAATAATTTGAACAATTGAGTACACAATTTCTGAATCCACCATATATTCTTTGATAGTTCTCATCACCTGTATAATAAAAAACCTAATACCAAATACAGAAATCTGGAACTAAATTTTGCTAAATTTGAACAATATAATTCTGTTCCTTTTTTGTTAGTTCAAGTTTGTTATTCAAGTGATTTGTTGATTTTGTCATTCTATTAATTGTAGTCCAATCTTTAAAGTCAATTGCATCTTCTTCACATTTAAAAATAACAAGGTTTTTTTGAATCACTTGATTTACTTTTTGTCAGCTTTGATATTTAAAATATATACCTTTTATGTCTCGACAGCACGTCTAAATGGTAAACCAATACTTTTATCTATATTCATCTAATATAATATATGTATTTCTATATTCAGTTATATAGTTGTAGGTATTTATAGTAATATATTTCATCTTCCTATAACAAAATATTGGTAAGTTTTAGATTTCTCTAATTTAATACATATAGTTTTAAGCAAATTACAAATAATATTTTTTTTTATTTTATTTAATTTAATGTACTAGAGCATCCTTTATTTCATCTAGTCTATAACAAAGTATTGGTGAGTTTCAGATTTTTCTGATTTAATACACATAGCTTTAAGTATATTACTAATAATACATTTTTTTATTTAATTATTTAATTTAATGA